ATTGCCAACCTAGACATTGGGTCTCTACAAAGTCTCTGGAACTTATGGATGCTCGCCGACGTATTCCGGCTGGAAGCGAATACAATGAGACTCGCAAAAATCTCAGGGCAAAACTGCGTGCTAGTCTGAAGAGAGACCGCGAAGTCTGGTGGTCTCATCGTGCATCGGAAATGGAAACAGCCGCTGCCGTTGGTAATCATCGTAAGTTATTCCGTCTGATACGGAAAATAGGCAGCAGGAGACCTGGTGTTAGCGAGACAATACGCGACGAGAGTGGACAGCCGATCCACAGCTTGTCAAAACGCTTGGAGCGTTGGGCCGAACACTTTGCAAGGCAGTTTAACCAACCTGAGTTATCGCTTTCTCTTTCGGACATTGAGTGCCCTTCTCCATGGGCCGTCTCCTTAGATCCGTCCTCACGCGCAGAAGTCGAACGTGAGATCAGACTGTTGAAATTGCATAAGGCCGCTGGTGCAGATAGAATTCCCCAGCTCTCTACAAATTCGGGGGCCTGCTCTTGTAGATGATTTACACGAGTTGCTAATGGAACTTTGGGAGCAGGAAACTGTCCCGACAGACTGGAGCCGCTCCGTCATTGTCCCAATTTTCAAGGGAGGCTCCCGTTCGGAATGCGGCAACCATAGAGGGATCAGTCTGATCTCAATTGCCTCTAAATTGCTTGCCTCCGTCGTTCTCCACAGATTGACTGGCGCTCGTGAAGGCCAGATCTGCGAAGAGCAAGCCGGATTTCGTCGAAATCGAGGCTGCATCGACCACAGCTTCACTTGGCGTCAATGGTTGAAGCACCGCCATATTTATGGACCACCTACCGTTGTCGTATTTCTCGACATCAAAGGTGCCTTCGATTCGGTGGATCGATGTGCCCTTTGAGACAATCTGCTGAGAAAAGGTGTGCCCGAGAAATATGTAAACATTATCAAAGCGCTGTACGCGCATAGTTAGGGCAGAGTGAGGGTTTATGGCAAACTGTCGCCGCCCTTCAATATATCCAGCGGTGTGAGACAAGGTTGCCCGCTGTCACCATTCCTCATTAACTTCGCAGTTGACGAAGTCATGGAAACAGCGTTCGCTAAACACGACTTAGGTGTGGAGCTAGTTCCTAGTGAGCGACTTTTTGAGTTGCAGTATGCGGACGACATTGCCCTCATATGTGACAGCGCCCAAACGTGCCAGGCAGCACTGGACCGATTAGCACTGGCTGTCAATCGTTTTGGGCTATGCTTTGCTTCATCGAAATGCAAAGTTCTTCTCCAAGATTGGCAAGGACCCACCCTGCGCTGACCCTTGGTGGTGATCAGCTAGAAGTTGTTCAGGAATTCAAGTACCTGGGCAGCTATATTAGCGCCCGTGGGATCGAAGCTGAGATTACGAACCGTATAGCAAAAGGTTCGAGGTGCTTTTGCCAATCTCCGTCACCTGTGCCGCAGACGCGACATCACTCTCGCCCTGAAGGGCAGAGTTTATTATGCAGCCGTCCGTTCAACCCTCTTATACGGTTGTGAAATCTAGCCCATAGGTCGACAGGCACGTTCGAACATCGTTGCCTTCGCAGCTTAGCTCATGTCTGGTGGGAGCACCGCGTGAGCAATGAGCGTGTTCGGCGTCGCGTATTTGGTGCAGGAAGAGCGAGTGAACCGCTCAGCACCATTATATCACGCACCAGGCTCCGATGGCTAGGCCACGTGTTGCGCATGCCAGCACACCGACTCCCGCGACGTGCATTGTTTGCGCGCCGGGGGTGCGGTTTGAAGAAGAGGGAGGCCAAGCGATGACTTAGTCGAGAGGGATGAAAACCCTTACTTCGAAATCGGCGTCGGTTACTGCATCCCGACTGCCTGGCTGGGGTCCTAAGGACGATGACACATTTGGTTGGACACACTTGCTGATATGGCTAGGAGCCGGCCCCAATGGCGTTTGTGTTGTGAGTTACTTTGTCCACCCCATCCGGTTTAGCCTCCTCCTCCAATCACGATCTCATTAGTTAGGCATAATATAACTCTTTTTGTGGCACGATAGCAGGATGTTAGCTCTCCGGAAGGATGCCCATCCGTTGCTAGGAACTCAGCCGGCGTGCCACTGTTTGTTTTCCTTTACTTGTCTTTTGTATTGCGGCACAATAGCTGAGGTGCTTTCCACCTGCAGCTAACGTGTGCAATGATGGATGATAATGAAGGTGCAATTCTCATTATCACACACGCCAGTTAGAAGTGAAGACGGCCTTAGCTGCTGCTCTGCAATAAATGCAATAATACAGTCGTAAAATAAGGAAACAGACAAAACGGATAATATTACTAAATGAGGGTTTCTTCGTAGCAGATTCAAGTCAGACAAACCCAGAAAAGCACTAGACGGCCGCTTCGTCCCATCAAGAAACGACAGTAAATAAATAAATTTGCACATTTAACCACAAAAGGTACACGATTCCTAGGTGGGAGTGATTATTTGTACACAGAAATAGTGAGATTATCACCGTATCTTAAAACAACAAGAATTTTCAGACCAGTGACCCGACCACCCGTAACGAGTTCGTTTAGTACGATGTTTTGCATCACTGTTTTCAAATGTACTTCGTAGCGAAATTCGGGAGCAGTCAATGTTTGAGTGTGGAAGTGTAGGTGGCACAAACACAAATTGCAATGTATGTGTAATGAAAAAACGCATCAGGATACCCCTTGTCGCTAGACAGAGAAATCGCCTGCGAACCGAAATGCAAGAGTCGGTAAGTCTTTGTAAGGACCTACCCAGCCAATTGTACAGATAACCTGCCCAGAATGGAGTGCAAGACGAAGGTACAAACTTCACTGTCCCTTAAATCGGACGCCGTTTCGGTGTTTCGTATGAGACGTCAGGAGCTTGATCGTTAAGAGAGAATGAAAGTTCTCCACCCGATGAACCACTCATCCTGGGATCCAGGATGGACCCAATGACCTCTGAGCAGTGGCCACAAAAAGGAACGAAGTTGCAACCACGGTGATGAACTGGTCTGATACGGAGACCAAAGACGGAAGTCGTACGTCGATTTGCACGATGAAGTGTTACAAGCTTAGAGCCGAGAACCGTAACGCAAGATCGGATCGATATGCATTTGTAGATTGAACGCGAATCTATGTGGGGTCAGCAGCAAGTCGAAGCCTGAACTTGAACCATTTTGAGTTGTGTTATTTGATAGTAATTAGCATCTCCGATGTTGTTTTGTTTAGTAGCTGCCTCCAACGTACTTATTCCACTATGCTCTCATGCAACAAATACCCTCGGTCCTGGCTGGTCTTTGTTGTGCCCATTTCGTCGTGGGTTGAACAGACGGGGCCCAACAGATTTCTGACGACGGTCAGCTCGCGCACTAGCAGCAGATTAGCCGTAAAATCAGCGGAAAGTACAACAATTGTAAAAGCCAGGGCTGGTCCCGCGAGTCACGGGTAAAACAAATGGACGGCTAGTGCTTTTATCGGAATGCGGAACACCGTCTAGTTTGCGAGCTAATGCGAAGAAGGTATCAAATAAGTACATCAGAAATCTCCTGCTCATAAGAAAATAACATTAGGTTCTGTCCGCGGTTATTGTGACTGAGAAAGGATAAATGTTCATACTGAACGATTGTTTTCTTAGAACTGTACTCCGGATAGGTCGAAACAGCCCCTGGCTGTTCACAATAACCCGGTGGCTTACGGGTAGCGGTTACAACTAACATCACAATGATCCCGGGTCCGATGCTTGCTCGGCCCGTTGTCCAAAGTTAAGGAGTCTGTAATCTGGCGGCGCAGGTTCGGACCTGCGTAGAGGCAAGGCGACCCTCGCATTATCCACGTGCGACCAGTGGTGGTTGGGCGGCAGTCAAGCATCGGTACTGCGTACCGGCGCACTGCTGATGCCTCCTCCAGATGATGACATAGGTGAGTGTTCTTGATGTACAACGATCCAGAAACAGTCTACAATGCGTTGTTCAGAATCCAATAATCGAAGAGTTGGGAAATCCATATAACCAGCAACCAGCACACTATCCGCAGTCTGAGCAATAAAGATAACGGATGGGAAATGTCGGTACAAGACGTTTCGGTAATCTTCGGGCTGAAGCGTACATTGAAACGATAGAATATCATCTTGTTTCCGCAGGATGCTAACTGACCCCTTTAATGTTAGGGTTCGAATCGCACACATGCTGTCCTTTGTCTGATTCCATCCGAGTAAATCCCGTTCAAGTTTTCCGCCGAGAGTAATATATGCAGCATGGACACTCCGAGTCAAGGAGTTGTTGTCGAAACAGATACCGAAAAATAGTCACTATCAACGATCACTAGGTAGATAATCGATATCAGTGTGACGGCAGTAGCTTATACGGATATGCAGACACAGCGCATGGGCTCTAGAGAAATGAAGAGGGAGATTTAGAGCTATTCGTCGGTCGGCCTGGCCTAAAGTGTGGAAATTAGAGGAGCCCAGGTGGAAAGCGATCCATGCTTTGAAGGATGTGTTAGATAGGTGGCTGATGGCAGCTGTGAGTTAAACAATAATCGCTTCTTGGTTGATTTGTGAAGGTTCGAGTTAAAATATGATAAAGTAAGGCAGTAGGAATAGCAATTGTAGCGGGGTCTTGAGCCCGAGTTTACCTTGGCTGCAATGATTAACCCATCTGGTGTAAGATTTGTATGTAGTATCGGTCAGCGTAGCTCAATCAAATGCGGAGGCACAAGGAGCATTGAAGAACGTCGTGAGACAGAGGGAAATGCCACACGAGGTTTAGTACATGAAGTATCCCGCTTATTGATAAGCAGAATGGGAAAATTTAGCAAACAATGCAAAACGGCGGTATCCAAAAGGTCTGGAAAATAGATAAATTTACTTACGGAAAGAAGCAACGAGAATTGCCGAACAAGAAGCGCCAGCGAAACTCGGTGTCGGATAGAAAAAGATCAGTTACAAACCCAAACGCCGGGGGGAACAGGAGAAACCAAATCGCACTGGTACATAAGACGTGGGCTTACTCTGCGACTACCGTTTTACCGGCGGATGTGTGTGCAGATATCATCACTGACTGATTGTTATCTATGCAGGTAAGCGCCTGCTGTTGAAAAGCGTCCAAAGTGAACGGATATGTTCTTGCCGGTTGTCTGGAATCCTTAGTGATCGGCTTGTACTCTAAATCAGGGGGAACAGCAACCTGTGGAACTGGTAAAGCATTCTAGTCAAGCGTTACTTCGTGGGTGCATGATTCAGGAGCAGCAAGTTTGTAAATTTTGATCCTAGGAGCTTTGAACTCCAAAGTATCCAATTCGGTCGAAGGCCTAGAGCGCTTGTTTGGACATTCGGGTGCGACTTCGTTGGCATCCTGGATCAACGGTCTCAGGCAAGCCTCAGCCCTGGAACGGAAAGAGGAATATAAGCGACACAATAGTATAAAAAATGAACACAGCATTGTGCTCACAGATTGTAGCATGTAAATTGTTGAAAATAAACCATTTGTGACAGTAAAAATTTACGGACAATGTTATCTGGATTATTATTATTATTAGCATTATTGTTTGTAACGCGTCAAAATCTTCACGTGTACTCCGAAGAGGCAGAAAACAAGGTGAGCAAACGTCGACGTGAGATTAAGCAGAATGTTGTAAAATGAGAACACTGAAAAGCACTGAAGACAGAGCGCAAATAAAATAAAAAGTGTCAAATGGGACTTGTTAAGGCCAAACTGAGTCGGACAACTATCACAAAAACCCAAGAAGTACTGGTTATTCATTCTGTCATTTCAGGGTTTACCAGCAGCGTGATTTCTCACTGTTCAGTGATGAGATGAAACGGCCTGAAACTTCCGTTCGAGGCCGTGATTATTAACACCGGGCAACTGGGGCTGGCGGCAGCTGCAGCGATCAAGTAACTCGCTAGAATAGAGCACCACCGGTCCTCCTCCACTGTAATGCGAGTTTCTAAAGCGCAGGTGACGGGATTGGCTTAAGAGCAAAACATTAAACGACCAATTATCCGAAAGTATTAAACACCCCTTTGCAACGTTACTATAGATAAAGCGCGAAAAAAATACCAAAGTCAATTTCACATCTGGATGTATACTGACCAGTTGGGTGAGTGCAGCCGTAATAATTCTTTCTTCAAGCATCAACTTCCACTAACGCTCCTATCTGAGCTAGGTCATGTCCATTAACTGTGAAAACATGAGTAAGCAACCCCACCATACTTCGAAAAGGAATAATAAAAAATGTTCCTCTCAAATGATGTGGATGTCGCCAAGTGTAGTATACCGACTAAGAATATCAGATCTCAAAAGAGGCAGCGGCACAGAACGGCTAGATCAGCACTAACATGAGAGAAACATTGGAAATTAAAAAGCAGAATCAAAGGGTCTCCCACAAATAGACTGGATTACGTTATCTGGCGAGCCGATAAGACTGTTTGGCCTAAAAAACAACCGGAACGCGAATAGAAACTTGATACTCTAATAACATCTTGGAAACTGTGAAACCTCGAAAATGATGCTTCTGGTTTGGTGAAAACGTAGAGTCAAACTGCATAGGTGGCGAAGAGCTGCAAATTAGGCAATAGAATACCACGATTTGTGGCAAAACAACTTGAACCATTTGGACGTATATTACAATCATTAATGACAAGAAAACAGAACTTGTACCCACACAACGATTCCACACAACGCTAAGTCAACAAAGCATCAAAATGATAAACAATTCAGCAAATAAATGTCAAAGCGCAGTGAACAAGCATTCAGCAACAAGGCAGGTGTAACTTGCTAACACTACACAGTCAATAGCAGCTGGTTATCGAGAAAAATAAGACAGCATAAGAATAAATAAATAAAATGTTTATTTTCGACTAAGCGAGGCACGCCTGCACAGGCATGATCATGTAAGGAGTACAAAATGTGATCAGATAATATACCATGGAACAATAGGATTGTCACATATGTTGATATATGAATGTTTGTATGTGTGCATGTAGGCATGTGTAGTCGTGTTTATGGGATTTGTAAATGCTTTGCTGCACTTTTGATCGTGTCGCCAGTGCTAAAGGGATGCTTGATGATGGTGGACTTGAAGCGGTTCTCCGGATAAGCAAGGGGTGAGTTTAGTTGGTGGCGAGTCACAACCGCCACGTCACAGCGTTGTTAAACAGACATTTGTGGTTTTTTACAGGGAGAACGCTTGCCAGGCGAAAACCCGCCATGTCCTGGAATACTGCCGCCGAACTATTCGCTGGAACGGGGTAAACCCGAACCACCCATCTGGCACCACGAGGAGGTTGCCCGGCCAGCTTACTAATAGCGAGTGATTCGTATATCATAAGCTATTAAACTCCACGAGTAATTCAGCACCACACATAAGATAACGCCACCGCAATGGGATCTGATCTTACGTAGTGCAACGGTTTCTGTACCACTTCGACACATTACGAAATATTAGTGTCCCGAGCCTCTTGAGATCTACTGATACCAGGTTGGTGAATGGTTAGAGGCCAGACAAATTCAGCCTTCTGCCCTTCAGATTAGAGGTTGCAAATGAGATGGCGACCATTACTGAAAAACCAAATCAGTGCCACTTAAACGCTACCTTGCGGGCAGGCTTTGAGCAAAAGGCTTTGTTTAAGGATCCTAATCGCCTTCTTGTCTAGGTATAGGCGCACTGGCAGTATCAACCCACGTACAACCATGACTGTTTCCGCAAACTTTAATCACATCCTGCATCAACCGTTGCGCAGCTTACCAAGAGCCGCCTTATCCACTGCATACAGCAGAGTTGACAAGCGAAAACTTGATACTGCTGGCGCCTCCCTTTTTTCCTTTCCACCAGATTATCTTACTCTCCCCGACTCCCATTACTAGCCTTCCCATAATTCCCAGCCTAATTAACGGCATCCGCAATGCCGCTGTAGTCATAACATCTGCAGCCAGGTTCCAGCATCACCTACTGGACGCGTATCGGCAACAGTCACTTATAAGGCCAAGAGGTCCCGTTTTCCCCACGGCGCTCAACGTTCGCACTCTAAGACAAATAGATCAACATGCTGCATTCACACACGCACGTTGAACATCCGGGGGTATTGACGTGTGTTACGTGTCCGAAACGAGGAGCAAGAACACTCAGGGGTTTGTTGAATTAAGTGCTCCTAGTTTTCCTTCTCGCTACTGGCTGCCCGCATTAAGTTAAGTTAAAAGGCTCCAAGGCTGATTCGTCATTGTGTGATTGGATTCCCGTAAGCGGCCATATGTGTGCAGCCCGTTTGACGACATCAACTAAAGTTGATTCACTAAATAGTACTAGACGCCGCCTGTTTGTGTTTTCCGTCTACGCCCCCACGCACTGTAGTTCTGATGCTGCCGGGGCATTCTACCACGAAATGAACACGCTGCATCGCAGTGTTACCAGTTCAGATATCATCGGTGTTGCACGGGATATGAATGTGCAAGTATGTCGTATGAGCTATTCAGAACCTCAGCTAAGTGATAAGTATGGCTTAAGTTCGACTGTACGGGCAACGGTGAACGTCTGTTACAACGATGCGCGGAGTAGCAGTTGTTTCATAGTAGCACCGCTTTTAGACACAGTGGGTGCCGAAGTGCCACTTGGTTAGCACAGTCGGTACGACTGCCCCACTTGTATATTGCCATCATAATTGATTCACTCCAGTTAGTTTGTATGGTCTATTTCTTCCACACCTGTTCGAACGGAGAGGTCATTGCTCTGCAGAGGACCTCACCACCATCTTTAACTAATGCATGTGCAAGGGAATCCACACCTAATCCTCGAAAACGATCAGGGGCTGTGATCGCATTTCGGACCTCAGCCTCTGACGGATCCTCTAAACTAACTGACCGAAGCTCAGCATGCATCACATGAGTAGGAAGGAGTCCGGAAGTAAGGGGCACCTAAACTGATCACGAAATTGCTGCACCCAAAGAGCTATAAGGTGTGCCTTATTCTGAATCAGGGACCCGGTGTTATCTCTGATTGTTCCACTGGCGCTTGGTTTCCTGAAAGTAATGGTGCGAATCAGCCGGAATAGCTCACGATAGTTACCTATGGCTAGCACACCTCCATTTCTTGAGCCCCACTAGTCTAGCAGACTTCCTTGTCAGCACGCAGGCTCCACGTTAGTTGGCGCTTAATATTCCGTCCAGTTACAGTATGTTTAGGGCATGCTGCAAGTTATATTCAGGATTCCGAGTTCATCAACCTTTAAGACACCTGGTGAATGTTACGCCAGCACCATTATATCACGCACTAGGCTCCGACTGCTTGGTTATGTATTGTGCATGCCAGCACACCGATTCTCGCGACGTGGACTGCTTGCGCTCCGGGAGTGTGGTTGGAGGAGGAGGAGGAGGGGAGACCAAGCGATGGCTCGATCGAGAGAAATGAAAACCCTCAGTTCGAAGTTGGCGTCAGTTGGTGCATCCCGACTGCCTGGCTAGGGTCCTAAGGACGATGAACACGTTTGGTTGGACACACTTGCTGATATGACGAAAAGCCGGCCCCAATGACGTTTGTGTTGTGAGTTTCTTTGTCCATTCCCCTCCACTTTGGATTCCCCCTCCAATCACAATCTTATACAAATAGCATGATAGGATAGTTAAGATTATATTACTTGCTTGGAATCTGTTTGTAGTGTATTTTTGGTCTCTTTTTGTATGGCGACACATTAGCTGAGATGTGTTTCTCACCCTCAGCTAACGTATATTCATGATGATGATTCACAGCGCCGCAAGCAGAGGCTCTCGCGTCATGCATGCAGGCCGAGATCCTGTTCCACTGAAGTCCAATGTCATTAAGACGAGACAGCAAATGTATGGTACGCAGGGTATCCTGGCAGACTTGCCCAACCGGACGCTGAAATAACTTCTCAGTCGCCAATCGAGGGGAGCTGGGTGAGCCTACCAGCAAGTTCATGGAAGAACGATAGTGTGTCAAGGCATGATCAGAGTCAACGCAAGTATTCGATAACGAGCGGGAATTTAGCAAACACGTTGTCAGTAACTTATGGCAATGTGATTTATTTGGATCCATCGATAGCCAAGTGGCATTTCGGCACCCAATGTGTCTAAAAGCGGTACTATTAAGAAACAGCCGGTGCTCCGCGCACAATTGTAACAGAAGCACGCCGTTGCCCATATGGTCGGAGTTAAGCCCATGATTAGCACTTAGCTGAGCTGCTGAAGAGCTCATACGACCTACATGCGCATACATATCCGCTGCAACAACAACGGTATCTGAACTGGTAACACAGCGAAGTAGCGTTAGTGAAACAGGTCTAGAAGAAAGGAGGCGCCAACAGTATCAAGTTTTCGCCTATCCGCCCTATTGTTTGTAGTAGATAAAGCGGCGCTTGATAAGCTGCGCAA